TATTAGTAATGTGTTACAATTATTCAATATTCTCTTTGCATTGTATCAATTTATAAGTCTCCCTTTGGTTGACTACTTTCTATGATAATGGTTCCGCGTTCCTTCTCTTTCTTTTTTCACTTCGTAGAATTTTCAACGAAGTACATTTGCACCCCCTCCAAACGAAATCCAAAGACATTTTACAATTTGCTTTACTCCTTTAGTGTACGATTCCGCGTTGCTCACTTTGTACCCCACCAAACGGAATCTAGGACATTTTCCAATTTGCTCGAGGGGTAGTTGCAAATTGTTGCGGTGGACCAAGAATATTGAGTACTTACAGTCGTACGCAAAATTATTTATTGAACAAGGAAATAGAAAGTTAAGGGAAACTGCGATTACTTTTACTTTTTCAACAAGGGATTAAAAATAAAAAATTATTAAATATATTGATGATAAATTTTTTAAATTTCATAAAAAAATAAAAAAGGTGATATATGTATTTTAATATATATTTAAAAAATAAAAAAGATTAATTAAAAAATAAAATATACATTATCCTTTTAATTTTGCTTGTAAAATTAATAAATCTTATTACCAATATATCAAATAATTTTTTCCAAAAAAACAGTAAATTTTAAGGAAAAAAAAATCACCTGATAACTTAGCTAATTATGTATACTCATTATTTGCAACTAATATCACAAGATAAGCAATTTTAAAATTTAAGATTAATTGAATATAATATAATTAAAAATGATAATTCAAATAAAGGTGTAAGGCCAAAAAAGAATAATTAAGCAATTTTAAAGCTCCTAACTTCCCCCGTATTTTTTCTCCAATGCATACCTTTTTTTCTATTGAAATTAACAATGTTGATCTTTTAAAATTTATTAGTGCATATATAACTAGAATTATTGTACATATATTTTGCATTAAATTTACGTACATACTAGTTATATGTACATTTCCGATTCCAAGATATTTGGTGATAAAAATTCAATATTTCAACATTAATTTATAATGATATGTTTAAAACTTATTTTTATATATTTTAGAAAATTAAATGATGTCTAAAATCATATATATTTATTTTTTTACGTCAAGTTATTATGTAAATATAAAACTAACATATTGTACGTGTTAGATTGGCAACATGTACAGTTTATATGTATATTGCACAACCCAAAAAAATTTATCTGTGAAATCTTTTTTTTTGTTTTTTGGTTTAGATTCAAAATAGCATCTTTTTGTATTTTAAAAGATAAATTCATCGATGAAATCTCTTACATCATATTAAAAATTTATGTGTATCTTTTATCTTCATTAAAATTTAAAAAATATTACATTCCACAATTTAAACCAACAATAATTACCTTAGAATGAACAAAAAAAATCAAATTAAAAAAGAATAATAGATTTTTAAAAAACGACGACCCTAAAAACCAAATGAGCAGGGTTAAAATGAAAAAAAGCTTAGATTCTTGCAAATAAAAAACAACTTTCTTTCGTTACGATAAACAGTATTGAGGGTAAAAAAGTAATATAAACTTTTTTTTAACAATTTTCTCCCTTGATATTTCTTTTTCCATAAATATTATTGGTAATTTGTATCAATTATATATATATATATATAAAAGAATATATGATAAAATTTACCACTTGAATGCTTAAATGGACATTTTTTTGACATATGAATAATACCTATTATACATAACTTTAATTTAAATATCAAATTTTTTAAAAATAAAATCTTATCTAAATTATCTATAATTAATTCTTTATGATTTTTCTTAAAAATAAAAATCTCAATAAATTATAATAAAAATATTACAAAACTTAAAAAATTAATCTTATTTGATTAAAATTTCACCTAAAAATATCTATTTTCTAATTTAAAATTTTCAAATGAATATTTTTATATTGGTAACTTTCCTTATAATCTTTTATTTTTTAAAATTGAAAAACACATATATCATTTTATATAATTTTATTCAAAAGATATTTATAATCAATTTATTATGATTTGATATCTTAATTATAATATATGTATTATATATTTTTTGAATACATGAATAATTAAATAATATTAATTTATATTTTTAAATATATTTAAATAACTAAAGATAATCCACACATTGGTAGTAAACTAGTTATTCAATATTCTCATTGCATTGCATCAATTTGTAAGTCTCCCTTTGCTTGACTCCTTTGCTATGTATGATGGTTCCGCGTTCCTTCTCTTTCTTTTTCACTTTGTAGAATTTTTAACATGGTACGTTTGCACCCTACCTAACGAAATCCAGAAATAAAAATTTAAAAAAATAAATTATTTCGTCCTTTCAAGTAGTATGAATCTAACTGGTAATGTTAAAACATTGGTGTTCACTTTGTAGAATTTTCAACAAAAGTAAATTGGCACCCCACCGTACAGAATTCAAAGACATTTTACAATTTCGTTTACTCATTTATTGTAGGATTCCGCGTTGCTCGTCGTTCTTTTTGACGATTTGTCACATTGTACCCCACCAAATGGAATCCAAAGACATTTTGGTTTACTCGTTTGTTGTACGATTCCGCATTGTTTCTTTCTTTTGCCACTTTGTACCCACCAAACTAACGGAAGACATTTTTTAATTTGCTTTGGGGTAATTACAAATTGATAAAGTGGGCCAACAATATTGAGAATATCCTACATACATAAAAGTATTTATTGAAGCAAGAAATAGAAAGTTATAAAATTGATAAAAGGGAAACTATTTTTATTTTTTCTTTTTTAACAGGAGATTAAAAATAGATAAATTATTAAATATATTAATGATAAAATTTTTTAATTTTATGAATAAAATTAAAATAATGACATATGTTTTTTTAATATATATTTAAAAATTTTAAAAATTAATTTAAAAAAATAAAAAATATATTACCATCTTAATCTTATAAAATTAAAAAAATTTCATTATTATTATATCAAATAATTTCTTCTAAAAATAATGAGCCTTGATACCTCCTATCGCATGCACCTATCATTCTTAATAATAATAACCATTATTTTAATCACAAAATGTTTTGTGCAATATAGGTAACATATTTTTTTAAATTGGTTTTTTTATTTTAATTTTTACACGTCTCTTTTATAAAATATATTGACTGAAATATTTTACAAAAAAAAAAAACAGAAATTAAATAGCAAAAAAAAGAAAGTATAGCTTGAGTCATAACCTTTCAATTGAAATAAAAAATTTTTAAAGTTTTTTAATTTATAAAAATCACTTTAAATGGATACTATAGGTATTTTTAATTGCATAAATTTAGGACATGATGGATTATTATTTATTAGTTCTTCCCGTAATACAAAATAATTATTTATATATTCGAGACATATGATAAGTGAGATTTTTATTTTTCTAATAAGAGATTAAAATAAAAAAATTATTAAATACATTGGTATGAGATTTTTTTAATTTAACAAATAAAATTATAATTATAATATATATTTTTTAGTATAAATTAAAAAAAATTAATTTATAAAAAATAAAATGTGTTATAAAATAATTTTTTTAAAAAAATAATGAGCCATATACCTCACTTCGCACGCACATGTCACTCTTGACAATAATAACCATTATTTTAACTACAAAATGTTTTGTAGAATATAAACAACATACCTTTTAAATTAGTTTTTAATTTAATTTTTCATGTCTCTTTATAAAATAAAAAAAAATAAAATAACTAATTGATTATTAATTTATACTTAATGATGGAAGTATTTAAATCTTACGAGTGAAATAATTAATAGTTTATTAATTTTTATAAATATACTTTAAAAACTAATCTTTAACTTTGTGATTTTTAAAAACATGTGATTTATATAAAAAATCTGTGGTTTTAAGAAAAAAACCCATCCCACTGATAACTTTAATGATTTATACTCATAAGTTATATACTAATATTCTCGATATAAGCAATTTTAAGGTTTTAAGATTTAATTGAATTTTGAACATATTACATTTGCACCCTACCAAACGAAATCCAGATGATAATTTTACAATTTTGCTGCTTTACTCTTTTAGCGTACGATTCCGCGTTGCTTGTCTTTCTTCTGTCACTCCGTACACCCACCAAATGGGCAATCCAAAGACCATTTTACAATTTGCTTTACTTTTTTAATGTACATTCCTCGTTGCTTGCGGTGACCGAGAATATTTACTCACTGTCATACATAAAAAATTTATTGAAAAAAGAACAGACTTATAAAATTGATAAAAGGGAAACTGCTTTTACTCTTTTTTAACAAAAATTCGAAAATAAATAAATTATTTAATCCGTTATAATAAAATATATCATATTTAATAATTTAAAATAAATAATTATAAGTTAAATATTTAAAATAATCTCAATAAATAATTATCAATAAAATATAATCGATCGAGTTCGAATTGATATAATATTAAACTTGAACTCGAATTCGAATTCAATTCGAAATTTAAAACTTAATACTTGATTCGAACTCAATTAAATTTTATTTTTTTAATTCAAATTTAATTCGAGATAAAAATTAAGTTACTCGAGTTCATTCGATTAAATTCGATTAACATATAAAAATAAATTTAATTTTTATATTAGATAAAAAATTTAATTATTTATGCTTAAATTCGAATTAAAATTTAAGATATTTTATTAATTAAAATAATAAAAATATATTTAAATATAAAAATTTAATCAAACTCAATAACCATTCGAATCGAATATAAAAATATTTTAATTTAACTCGATCGATGAATCAAATTATTTTAATTCAAATTCAATTAAATTATTTGAGTTTTATTTTAATTTAATTTAAATAATTTATAAATATTAATATATTATTTATATTTTTAATTATCGATAAAATTTGAACTCAAAATCATTTAATTGAAAAAATGATACGGACGATTGAATCACTGCTTATTGATAACTGCTTTTACTGTGTTCACAATTATTCAATATTCTCATTGCATTGCATCAATCTGTAATTCTCCTTTTGCTTGACTCCTTTGCCATATGATGGTTCCGCGTTGCTTCTCTTTCTTTTTCACCTTGGAGTCTTTTTAGTTGCGTTCATTATTCACTTTTTTTTCCTACTGTGTTACAGACTCAACATCACAAAACCTTCTTGTTCTCTGTTATGGCTTCCTCTTCCTCTGCTTCTGCTTCCTTAACTCAAGCAAAGCATCATGTTTTCCTGAGTTTTAGAGGTGAAGACACACGCAATACCTTCCTCAGTCACCTATATGAAGCTTTGAAAGGAAAAGGGATTGGAGCTTATGCTGATTTCAAAGAACTTCCAAGGGGAGAGGAAATTTCTTCCGCACTGTTGGAAGCAATCGAAAAATCAATGATTTCCGTAATAGTTTTTTCTCAGAAGTATGCTACTTCATCATGGTGCTTAGATGAACTCTCCAAGATAATGGAATGCAGGGATTCACGAGGACAACTTGTGGTACCCATTTTCTACCATGTTAACCCATCCGATATACGAAAACTAAAAGGGAGTTTTGAAGAAGCTTTTGTTGACCATGAAAGAAACAGGATAGACAAGGTTAAGGGGTGGAGACTCGCTTTGACTAAAGCTGCCGGTTTAAGTGGGTGGCACATTGCTGGAGATAAGTAAGTGTTTGTTTTTCTTACTCTAAGCTTCTTGCACTAAGTTGGTTAATTTTCTTTTGAATTTTTTGTTTTAAAAAATTTCCCTTAAGAAGCGTAAGTTTTGTTCATATAATCTTCATTACCTTAGGCTTAACTCATTTCTTTATTTTTGGTTATTCGATAGGCCTGAGCCCACAGTCATTGAGGATATTGTTAAAGATATTGTAAACAAGTTGGATCGGTTGTCTAAAGGTGATTGCGAAGACTCATGGGAATATTTCCTCGTATGGGAGCAAATCAAATCACTGGTTTCATTTGGAGGGAGATTTCGATTATTGGATATGGGGAATGCCTGGTATAGGCAAAACAACTCTTGCTCAAGCTATATATGATGAAGTCCGTGGTCAATTTGAAAGTTATTACTTCTTGGCAGATGTTAGAGAGAAGTTAGAAACACCTGTTGCAAATGCAATCACTCTGCGGGATCAACTTCTTTCCCAATTATTAAACCAGCACGGCCTCCATATCGGTACTCCTAGAATGCCCTTTCTCATTAAGGATAGACTCCGTCGTAAGAAAGTTCTTCTTGTCCTTGATGATGTCAATGATTGGGACCAATTAGAAAAATTAGAAATTAGCCATGACCACTTTGGTTCTGGTAGTAGAATCATTATAACATCCAGAAACAAACAAGTCCTTATAAATGGATCAGTTGACGAAACGTACAAGGCTAAGGGATTAGGTTACAATGACTCCATTAAGCTTTTTTCGCTGCATGCCTTCAAGCAAAACGGCCTTGTTGATGATTATAAGGATGTATCAAATAAGTTTTTGGAATATGCTAAAGGCGTTCCGCTAGCTCTTAAAGTCTTGGGTTCTACTGTTTGTGAGAAGAACAAAGCATATTGGGAAAGTGCATTGAATAAATTAAAGCAACATTCCGATCCGAAAATTCACGATGTGCTGAAGATTAGCTTTGATGGGCTGGAAGATGTAGAGAAGAAGATATTTCTTGATATCGCAATATTCTTTAAAGGGTGTGGTAGAGATAGTGTAACAAAAATACTAGACGGTTGCTATAATGGGACTGCTGGTTGGGCAATTACCAACCTTGTTGATAAATGCCTCTTAGATGATACAAAAGAGAACAAGCTTGGCATGCATGATTTGCTACAAGAGATGGGTAGGATAATTATCAGTTCAGAATCTCGATGGGCAGAAGAATGTAGTAGATTATGGAATTCAGATGATGTTTGTAAAGTGTTAAAGAAGGGCAAGGTAAGAGCTAACTGAACTAACTTTTCTTTTTTTTTTCTTGCTCATCTTGACTTGATAAATGTTTGATGCATTACGGTAAATTATTGTTTGCTGTTGATTATAGGGGACGAAATCAGTGGAGGGGATATTATTAGACCTGTCTCAAATTAATAATGAAGTACAGTTACATCCACGTGCTTTCGCAAGGATGCCTAATCTTAGAATTATCAAATTCTATGATCCTACTTTTTCTGGGAAGGGAGGTATGTTGGTTCCTTCGCACAAAGGTCTTAAATCTCTTCCTGATGAGTTAAGGTATTTTCATTGGGAGAATTGCATGCTGAAATCTATACCGTCGAATTTTAGTCCGAAGAATCTTGTTGAATTAAGATTAAGTGGTCGCAATTTTGAACTACTTTGGAATGGAGACCAGGTATTCTTTAACATTTTATTTTCATAAAAAAAAATATTTATTGTTTTTAAATTTTATTTTTGTAGTACCCTATAAGTTTAGAGGCTTTAAAGTTTAAACTAATCTCATATTGTTTCTTCGCTTTCATTGCACAGAATCTTGAGAATTTAAGAGTGCTTGATCTTTCAGATTGCAAGAATTTAATCAGGATCCCAAGTTTGTCAGCATCCAAAAATATTGAACAACTGAAAATTAGTGGGTGCGAAAGCTTGGTTGAACTCCCATCCATGGTTCATTTGACATCTCTTTGCTTTAGCCTACTCGGTTATGGTTTAAAAAATTTGAAGAAATTTCCTGAGCTGCCACAGCATATCGAAGAGTTGACTTTAACATGCACTGCAATAGAAGAAATTCCGGAGTCAATCGGGTTTCTCCATCAACTTGTTCGTTTGGATATGAGTGGTGGCCGAATTCATAATCTTCCAAGCACTACTATTCAGTTGCATGCCCTTAGAGAAATCAGTCTCCAAAGTTGCCCAAACATCACAAATTTTCCGATTGTTCCGGAGAACATAGAACTCTTAGTTTTGGGTTACACTCCAATAAAAGAAGTGCCTTCATCAATCTCAAGGCTTAAAAACCTTACTTCTTTCAACATGTATGGCTGCACAAGGCTTAAAAGCGTTCCAACCAGCATTTGTAAGTTAAAATCTCTTGTATCACTAGGTCTCTGTGGCTGTTCAAACTTAGAGTGTTTCCCAGAAATATTAGAGACTAAGCGTCTAAAATATCTTGGTTTAAGTAAAACAGCCATAACAGAGTTATTCTCGACTATATTTCGGTTTGTCCCTTTGAAAGTATTGAATCTATCTGGATCAGATATAGTGGAAATTCCTAAGAGTATCAAACAACTTTCTAATTTACAGTATCTATATTTATCTGATTGTGGGAACCTCGAATCATTGCCAGAACTTCCACCATGTTTACATTTTTTAGTAGCAGGAAACTGCAGATCTTTAAAGAGGGTTTCCCAGTGGGAACATGCGCATTTTATGGAAGCTGGGACATTTTTATTATCTGGCAACAGTGAGTTTGTATTCAATAATTGCTTCAATCTGGACGGGGATGCAGTCAACAACATTGTGGCTAATGCACAGCTTATAGCTCAATGTACGGCACAGGTGTTTGCGATGAAATCTTCTGAAGTTGCTGCTAATAATTTTTATCGTTATAGTAATGGTTTCCTTTCTTGTTTCCCTGGAAGTAAAATTCCAAAGACATTCAAGAATCGGAGTAAAAATTCTTCAATAACTGTCAAGTTGGGTCCAGCTTGTTCTAGTAAAAGATTTTTGGGCTTTCTTCTATGCATTGTGGTTAATTTTAAGGGCCCTCATAAATTCAAACACTTCGGCGGTAGTTGCCAATATCTATTAACAACCGAGCGCCTTGACCGCCTTGACCGTGATCCTCTCGAACTTACTCATCATTGGAATTGGAATGCCCCTTTCTGTCCAAGCTTTGATTCGAATCATGTGATCCTTTTTGGTAGTGGTTTTGGAAGGGAAATCAATGAATCCATAAATAACCATTTTGATGAGGCCTCCATTGAATTCTACGTTACAGCTCAGGATTTTGATTCCAATATTGAGCATATCATAGTGCAAAAATGTGGTGTCAATGTATTATATGAGGATGCTGTCAGATCCAATGACAAAGAGGTTGCGTCCAGCACAAATACAGAGCTAATGATGAGGAAGGCCTTGATGATCCTACGACTACAATGACACCTAGGCACAGACGACGTTTTAGCTCTGATGAAGTGGAAGAACCAGAGCCTAAAAGACTGAAATGGTTTCGTTTCTTTTGAGGAGGTGCAAGTTCGCAAATTTCTGATATTATTTAAAGTTCAGGCAATTCAGTTCCAAAGCTTTAGTAAGTCATCCTGAGATTCAATTTGTCATCACTTTTAAATCTTGGTAATTTAGAAAAAAAAAAAAAAAGAAAACGAAATGCTTTCAACTTTGAATCTTTCAAATTTTCCTTCATGCTTTTCTTTCACATTTTGTTTCCGAACACTCTCTCATCATATTATTTTCTCCTTCATTTTTCTCAACTCACTATTGTATTTTTCTCCTCTGATTGAGAGAGATAATTTTGTTTTTCTTTTCTGAAATTTCCCTACTTTTTTTTTTTTTTTTAAATTTCGTTTTGGCTCTTAAAGTAATGTAAAGTATGCAAACATTGTGGTGTTTTACTTGGTGTTTTGTTTTATTATTACCTAATTTTCTTTTTAGATAGTAGGTGATTTCTAATTTGCATGCACCTTCCCAAAATATTCATCTGAACCACTTGTGTTCGAAATTGCTTTGGCTTATAACCTGTGCATTATCTTGATCAAGGTTTCAGTTGATGCTTTTCTTAGGATCCCTAAGAGCAGTTGGAATGTGAAAGTAAGGTCCCCTCTCCCATAAAAAGGTTCTATTTTTGCCTATGTTCATTATGCATTTTAGAATTACGACAGTATTTTGCACATTTTCTGGAACTTTCATGAAAATTCAGCCTTAACTTGATGTGACATTTTTGAACCTGCAGATTATGGATGTTTCAAGTGTCTCTTTGTCACCAGTAGAAAGGGTTTTCAGAGAAATATTGGGTTTTCAAGTCTAGGTTGTGACAAATGTAATTTTTTTTTCCCTCAAATTAATTATGTGCTACCTTTTCAAGCTAAATTACAGAGTTTGAATTCAATATGATGTTATGAAGCTAGAGATTTGCATCCCTTTGCTACTTACTACATGCTATTGCTGCTGCCGCAGCAGTTCCAGATCGTCAAGGTAAATGAACTTCTATAACTGGCTGAAAGTGTAAGTTTACCTTTTTCTTTTTTTTTTTTTTTTCAGAAAAATTATATGAAGCATAACATGAAATCTTTAACTATCATGTGGTCTTGAATCGTAATCAATTTCAGTGCTTTCTTAAAGCTACATCAGTGAAGTAGCAAGTTTATATCATCTGATGGTCAGGACTTTGTCGTTATCATCTCACAGTAGAAAAATAGATCACACCTGCACCATCATTGAGAATTGGGGAAAATAAAAACAAAAAGGCCAAAAATAGAAGGAAACTAGGGCTTTTTTTTTTTTTCCCAATGGAAGGGTATTTTAACATCATTAAGGAAAGTTTGAAACTTATTTACCTAAATGGGATACTCATGCTATGTCATATTTTTTACTATTTTTTTGTTTTCCTTAAACATACAAAATACAAGGGATTACGCTTTCTCTGCTTCGATGCTTTAACTCTCCTTCAATCAAAGACCAGTGGCAAGTATGAAAGGGGAAATTTAGGTGGGTTCTTCATTTATGTGCTTCATCTCTCTTTTTCTTTTGGGGATTTGTTGTTGTCTTGAAATTAAATTCCCAAACTCTTCATCCATAGTTTTTAATTATAGTTTTTTGGGTTTATAGTTTTGAATTATAGATTTTTGGGCTTATGTAGTAGAAACAGCAATCACTTGGGTGGACTTGGGTTTTATATTTAGGTCGAACTAATTTTGTTAAGCTTGTTAAATGGGTTAGGTGAACTTGAGTGTTGCTATAATTCTTATGTCACATCAGTTTGGGTGGAATTCATCAGTAGCTGGATTAGTTCAACCACCATTTTTTTGGGGATATGCATTGAGTCAATTGCCAGGGGTTTGCTAGCGAAGCTTTTTGGTTGAAGGTTAGTTTTTGAAGACTTTGGCTATTTTGGGTAAATGTGCTATCTTTCATATTTTCCCTGCTTGCAATACATAATACAAAGTTGTCATTTCAAATTCCAAAAGGTAAAAGAGAAAGCAGATAATCTTATAATTTTACCCACAATTTAAGGTTTGCATTCAGAATTTTAGGAATATTTTTGCTATTCACAGGCATTAATGAGCTGCTACCATCTCTAGTTAGGATGCTACCTGAATTCTACGGTTTGGGCTACTTTTAAGGCTACACATTACTTGATTGTGTAAGCACATTAATTTTATGCCTTGTTGAAGGTGGTCAACTGTATGGACTAGGTTTAGTTGGATATGGCAAATACAGACTGAAACTAATCTAATGTAGTTGGTTTAATTGGATATGGAAAATGCACTGAATTTTAATTGTGCTAACAATACTAGCAGTTGGGTTGGTTGTGATGTTTGTTCCTATTGGTGCTATGCTGCTTGTGGCATGCAGAGGAATCTTATCAAGCCAAGTAATAGCTTAAAGGGGCCATCTGGCACTACAGAAATGCAATTTCACTTCATGGGATGTAGTCATGCTTCAGCAACGCTTGGGTTTATTAAGGATGTGTTTTTATGCTGTGCAAAGGACTGGGGTCCAGAAACACTAACATAGGACCTTGATTGTGTAAAGAACATTTTCAGGGGCAGTGATGATTCAAAGGGCTAGGACCTGCATATCAAAGCTGATGAGCTATTCACCCAGCTTGAAAATAAAATGATTCTGCTACAGATGTATGCAGCATCGTTATTCAGTTCTTCAATTGTAAGTATCTTTTGTTCTGTCTATTTTTCCATGCAATCTTATTGTCATTATGAAGCACATCAAACAAATTTCATGGAATACAGATATATTGCATCGTGATAAATGTTTTCCTAGTTTCTTCTCGGTGGCCTTGTTTTTGCATGCATTTATATTTTTCTTTTGATTACTAAGGATAATTTCTGTTCTAATAAAACAGCAGTTTTTGTAACTTGCATAGCTCAAATGACTTATGAGTGAAGAGGAAGGGTTCTATTTATATTATTAAGTACTAGTCTTAAAACTTTAACATCTTTAAGGAAAGTTTGAAACTTATTTACCTAAATGGGATACTCATGCTATGTCATATTTTTTATTATTTTTTTGTTTTCCTTTTACATACAAAATACAAGGGATTACGCTTTCTCTGCTTCAATGCTCTAACTCTTCTTCAACCAAAGACCAGTGGCAAGCATGAATGGGAACAATTTAGGTGGGTTCCTCATTTATGTGCTTCATCTCTCTTTTTCTTTTGGGGATTTGTTGTTAGCTTGAAATTAAATTCCCAAACTCTTCATCTCTATGCTTAATTCCGTCATAGTTTTGGATTATAGTTTTTTGGGTTTATGTAGCAGAAACAGCAATCACTTGGGTGGACTTGAGTGTTTCTATAATTCCTATGTCACATCAGTTTGGGTGGAATCCATCAGTAGCTGGATTAGTGCAACCATCATTCCTTTGAGGTTATACATTAAGTCAATTGCCAGGGGTTGCTAGCGAAGCATTTTGGTGGAAGGTTAGTTTTTGATGACTTTGGCTATTTTGGGCAAATGTCCTCTTTCATATTTTTCCCTGCTTGTGATGCAGAATATAAAGTTATCATTTCAAATCAAAAAGGTCAAAGAGAAAGTAGATAATCTTATAATTTAATCCACAATTTAAGGTCTGCATTCAGAATTTTAGGAATTTTTTTTTGCTATTCACGGGGATTAATGAGCTGCTGCCATCTCTATTTATGCTACATGAATTCTACAGTTTGGGCTACTTTTATTGTGTAATCACATTAATTTGATGCCTTGTTGAAGGTGGCCAACTGTACGGACTAGATACTGTATGGACTAGGTTTAGTTGGATACGGCAAATGCAGACTAAAACTAATTCTAATTTTGTTGGTTTAATTGGATGTGGAAAATGCGTTGAATTTTGATTGTGCTAACAATACTTGCAGTTGGGTTGGTTGCGATGTTTGTTCCCATTGGTGCTATGCTGCCTGTGGTATGCAGAGGAATCTTATCAAGCCAGGTCATAGCTTAAAGGGGCCATCTGGTACTACAAAAATGCAATTTCACTTCATAGGATCTGGTCATGCTTGAGAAATGTTTGGGTTTGTTAAGGATGTGTTTTTATGCTGTGCAAAATACTGGGGTCCAGAAACACTGACAAGGGAGCTTGATTGTGAAGAAGATTATCAGGGGCAGTGAAGATTTAAAGGGTAAGGACCTGCACATCAAAGCTGATAAGCTGTTCACCTCGCTTCAAAATCAAATGATTTCTGCCACAGATGCATGCAACATCATTATTAAGTTCTTCAATTGTAAGTATATTTTGTTCTGTCTATTTTTCTATGCAATCTTATTGTCATTATGAAGCACATCAAACAAATTTCATGGCATACAGATATATTACATTGCAATAAATGTTTTCCTAGTTTCTTCTCAGTGGCCTTGTTGTTGCATGCATTTATATTTTTCTTTTGATTACTAACGATGATTTCTGTTTTAATACAACAGCAGTTTTTGGAACTTGCATAGCTTAAATGACTTGGGAGTAAAGAGGAAGGGTTACAATTAAATTATTAAGTACTAGTCTCAAAACTTATAAATATTTATGCTATTTATAGTGTTATAATATACAGCAGAAAATATGTGCAGAGAGTCAGAGAACATTGGACTATTATTAATGGCATGTAAGATCAGCACATTAAAATGCCACCTTCTCTTTTTATCCTAATGAGAGTATAAATATCCCTAGCATTTCATAATCTCATGATGAAATCTCTTCTTGAATTGGAGGCCTTTTTCCTACTCTGTTTCACTATTCTTCAGAGACCAGTAGAAAATAGTGTTAAGTAAAAACAGTAATGATAGTGTTGAGGTGTTTCAATTTTTTTTTAAATATAAATGATTATTTAAAAAATCTGACATGGCATTGACATGGCATGAAGTACCCCATTTATGTAAATAAATTTAAAACTACCCCTATTAAGAAATAAAGATTTTAAACTACTCCTCTGTCAGAAAAAAGCTCAAGGAAACTACTTGAGTTTGTTTAGTAATGAGGAGAGCAGCTAAATTATTTTCTTTTCTGTCTATAATGTTTCTCCATTCTGTCAGGGAAATTATAGAGTTAAAGCTATGGATTTTGATTCGAATATTGAGCATATCAAAGTGCAAAAATGTTGGGTCAATGTATTATATGTGGATGCTGTGAGATCTTATGACAAAGAGGTTGAATCCTGTAGAAATTACAGGTCTGATTTTGAAGAGGCTGTGAATCCAACCATTGAGACATTGGAATCAAGTTGTCATGCTAATTTATCATTCACTAAGATGAAGAGAAGAGATGTGATGCTTCCATGATGGAACCTAACTCTGCAATTGATCCAAATTGGCTCCTTGAAATTTGATGTCAAAAAAGAGATTTTCGAAGGATCAGTGATGGAAAAAAATAAAAAGCTAATGATGAGGGAGGCCTTGATGACCCTATGACTACAATGAGAACTAGGCACAAAAGAAGTTTTAGCTCTGATGAGGAGGAAGAACCAGAGCCTAAAAGACTGAAATACTTTCATTTCTTTTGAGGAGGTGCAACTTCTCAAACATATCTTGCTTTCTGATCTTATTTAAAGGCCAGGCAATTCAGTTACAAAGCATTGGTAAGTCACCGTTAGATCCAATTTGTCATTAATTTTAAATCTTGGTAATTTAGAAAAAGAAAAACAAAAGAATAAGAAATACGTTCAACTTAGAATCTTTCACATTTTCCTTTGTCCATTTCTTTCACATTTTGTTTCTGGTCACTCTCTCCTAATTCTATTTTCTCCTTTCTCTTTCTCACTCACTGTTGTATTTTTGTCCTCTGATTGAGAGATAGCTTTGTTTTTCTTTTCTGAAATTTCCCCACTTTATTCAACTTTTTTTAAAAAATTTTGTTTTGGCTTTTAAGTAGTAGGGTAAATAGTATGAAAACTTGGTGGTTTTTCTAGTAGGTGTTTTGTTTTCTATTGCCTAATGATCCATTTAGATGGTGGTTGATTTCTAATTTGTATGCTCCTTCTTGAACCACTTGTGTGAAATTGCTTTGGCTTATAACTTTCCGTTATCTTGATCTAGGTTTCAGCTGATTCTTTTCGTAGGATTTGTAAGGCAGGTTGGAATGCAAAAGGAAGGTCCCTCTCCCATAAAAGGGTTGATTTCTATTTGCCCATGTTGATTATGCATTTCACAGGTTTTTTGCACATTTTTTGGAACTTTAATGAAAATTCAGCCTTAACCTGATTGACACCGTTGAACCTGCAGATGAGTGTTTTGAGTATACTCTTTGTCACCAATAAGAAAAATAGTAGATTTTCAAGTCAAGGTTGTGACAAATGTTATTATTTTCCTTCAAATTAATTATGTGCAACCTTTTCATGCTAAATTACGGAATTTGATTTTAATATGGTGCTATCAAGCTAGAGACCTGCATCCTTTTGCAACAATATGCTATTGTTGCTGCCTCTGCAGTTCCAGATCTTCAAGGTAAATTAGCTTCTATAACTAGGCAAAAGTGGAAGTTTACCTTTATCTTTTTTTTTTTTTTTTCAGAACAATTATATGAAGCATAACATCAAATCTTTAACTATCATGTGGTCTTGAATCTTAATCAATTTCAGTGCTCTCTTAAAGTTGCATCAGTTAAGTATTAAGTTTATATCATCTGATTGTCAGGACTCAGTTGTTATCATCAGACGGTAGAGAAAAACAGAACACACTTGCACCGACATTGAGAATAGGGTGAGATCAAAAAATAGAAAAAGAAAATATTTGAGTATGTTTAGTAATGAGGAGAGCAGCTACATTATCTTCTTTTTTGTCTATAATATAACGTTTCTTGATTCAGTAAGGGAAATTATAGGTTTAATTTTATATATATATATATATATATATAGAGAGAGAGAGAGAGAGAAAGTAGAAGAAATGAAATTTATTATGCAAGTCAAGGATCAATTGTGAACATATCAATTACTGATAGATAAATTCCTTGGTTAAACTTTTTGTAGCTAAAAGCCTGTGCATGCCCTGAATTTGATTGAGCATTTCCTCTAGTTGCTTGGAGAATTTATTTATGAATTTTAATAAGGAATGATTCTGGTATCTGAAGCTTTAGTGCTTGTAAAGTTGTTAATAATTTTGAAAAAAAAGTCACTACCCTGAGATTAGCCTTGACTTTCTAAATATGCTTCTATTAAGTTAATGAAGATGCAAATGATTGGTCTAAGCAAAGGATGGCAAAACACAGTCCCAAGGCAGAGGGTTAAAACAGAGTCCTAAGCAATGCGAAAACTCCAAATGAAGACAATTTAAGGTACTAGCCAAGTGGAAAACTTTTACTTATTACTAATTACATTATAATGCTACTGTTCCTTATATATTAAGTTACTGAATAATGGTTTTATGATGAAATTGAACGGAAGCCACTTTAGTTGCCTTGATATCTTTGAATATGAATGACATATAGAAAGCCAAAGAGATTTTTATCTGCTTTATAGATCAGAGAATGGTGCAAAACCTGAGTATAGCATTTGTAGTTATTAATGAAAGATTATTCTATCTACTTTTCAGATGTTATATGGAAGATTTTGTGTAAATTATTAGATAAACTCAATGAATTTGTAAGTTAAATCATCTGGAGTTGGTCTTCTCAGTTTCATTTCAATAATTTTTTTCATTTGCAACGACATGCTTTTCTAAAAGTCGACAAATAATGTTTGTTTGCATACAATCGCAAAGTCTGACTCGTAAGTACTTGGCACTGTTATGGGCAAAAGAGATGAAAATCGCCTGTTGGTCTAAGTGAAGCAGGGAAAAAGACAAACTCAACCGCCAATGTTAAAAATTCAAATGAATCCAACATGATGTGTTTGCCCTTATTACCATTCAAGATAGAATTCAGCTCGAAATTTTTACTTATATCAGATCTTTGGGCTAAAATTTATCTATTTCTTTGACAAAACATTATTCTTCATTTTAGTTGGCTATTTGTATTTAATAGGAAAGTCAATCACTTTCTATTCTGGTATCATTGCAGGACACATGTCAGTTGCTTTTCAGATATGGTAAATCTCAAGCTGCATATAGATTATTGATACTTAAAAGAGGTAATGGTGGGTGTTACTGTGAGTGTTGAAGGGACATCTTTCGACATTTTTCTTTGAATTGATAGCTTTAATATTTATGAATCAAACAATGAGAGCTTGAGTACTTGCTACATTCTCAACTTACTGTGTTTAAAATGATGTGATCTGACTGGATAGAGATTTAGTACTTCTTATACTGAATGCACTTGGGAATTACCAGCCTTTGTTTCAACATCTTCATTTTCTAAAAACACTAGTTATATAATTAGGAAACTGATCAATTAGCTTTTTACTAGTATAAATTGATATGAAAACTTAGTCAAACTTAGATGGCTAGCTAGCTTTTGATGTCAGAATTTTCATTGCAAGTGATTGTGCAGAAATGAATACTGAATTACTAGTATTTTACTTCAACAACTCCAATTATGTGGAGTAGAAATTGTTTAAGCAGATTGTCAATACATTAGTTTATGGTTTCACTTGAAATGGTGCCCATTTTCATATTTTATAGCATCTTGCTATGCAGCTCAAGCGGAGGTAAAGAAATCAAATGCAATCCTAACAAGATCGAGCCCAGCTTTCCTCGTGATTCGACTAGGCTCACCTTGAAGCTGAGTTTGTCATTGCTATTATTCAAAGATGCTTGCACTGAGAAAGCCAATGGTGAACACTAACATACACCGACTGCAACGGAAGTTTTAGCGCTGATGAGGTTGGAAAAGGAGCAGCCGTTGAGAAATTGGAAGCAAGGACAATGAGGATGACATCTTCCCGACGGTGGTGAACCAATGATTGAATGAGATAGCTGAAAACCGGAAAAGATTATGGTGACCCTTCTACTCAAATGAAACAAGGATGGAATTGAAGTTTTTGCAGTAGTAGGGGGGATGACCAAGCCCTAAAGAGCTGCAACTTTTCTTTAAGATTTTTTGCTTTATGCTTGTGCTTGTGTTACGGGTCGAGACTTAAGTTTCGAATTCGCGCGGCTCTGGGACCCGAGCATTCACTCTTCCGGTATCCCAGATCAGTCTACCTGCCACGGTTCACACCCTTGTGAGGTATTGTCCACTCTGACCCCTTGACCTCAGAGTTTTGTCCTACAAAAGGCGCCTCACAAGGCGGTGGGATTCAAGACTCTTTCTTAGGTCTGTGACATTCTTCTGCACCCAATCTCGTGATGCCCTCGTCACGGAGGCTGACCACCTTGCCTGTCTCCCTTGAGGTACTTGGTGTGGATCGAACGGTTTAAGGCTGGTTTTAATACCACTTGTCACAGGTCGAGACTTAAGCTCCGAACCCGCGGGGCTTCGAGACCCGGGCATTCACCCTTCAGGCGTTCCAGATCAGCCTTCCTGTCTCGGTTCACACTCTTGTGAGGTATTATCCGCTCTGGTCCCCTTGGCCTCACGGTTTTGTCCTACAAAAGGCACCTCACAAGGCGGAGGTGGTGTGAACCCTTATATACCCCAATGACCCTTTTATTATGTTCGATTTGGGATTCGGGACTCTTCCTTAGGTCCGTGACACTTAGACTCGGACTTTAAGTCAGTAGTTCTCGACAAGCCTGTCTTTTCTTGATCTTATTCACAACGGTTTATCATGAAATTTTAACTATTTTTATGTTCTTCTGTCTTTTCCCGAACTAATATATTATTTTTATTTTTTAACGAATTTCATTTTTATAAAAAAATTTAAAATTTTAATATTAAAATAAAGTCAGAAATTTTTTAAATTTTATGAAAATAAAAAAACTCAAAAGATTTGAGATGGAAGAAATTATATATATATGATAATATAAAATAATAATTTTTTTTAATAAATTTTTAAATAGCATCAAGCATAAATGCATGGATTTGGAGAGGTTAAGCTCACATTTAGAGATGCCAAATGGCTTATATCATGAATGTCTCTTATCTATGTGGTTCACAAATTAATCAATGGAAGAATTTCAGTTTTTTCAAACAAATAAAAAATAACACCTTAAAATCATTTTTTACAAATAAATGAAGTAAAATCATACCGAATCTCATCCAAAGAAAATTGAACATTTAGAAAAAAGAAAAAGAAAAATAAAATCTTTGGAGATTTTAATTATGAGAGGATAAGCTTCTTCAGTGTTTCAATTTGACCATGGCCATGAAGTTTGACAAACAATTGGAGAAACAAAAAAAAAAAAATTAAACTTAGTTTAGGCTGTTGCCCCCAATTTTATAAAAACTGCTCCGTATGTGGATCAGTTCTGGCTTTAATTGATATCATTTTACTCCGCCAATCTTAAAAGCACAGGATCTTGCTTCCATGGCTTCCTCCTCTCATCAACCTAAGCATGATGTTTTTCTCAGTTTCAGCGGTGAAGACACTCGCAACAACTTCACCGCTTATTTTATATCAGGCTCTGAAACGGAAAGGGATCGGCGTCTACATCGATGAAAACGAACTGAAAAAGGGGCAGAAACTGTCTCCAGCTCTGTTGAAAGCAATCGAGGAATCAAAGATCTCGGTAATCATTTTCTCAACAAACTATGCTTGTTCGTCATGGTGCTTGCAATAACTTTTGAAGATCATGGAACTGAACCGTGCCAACAAACAAGAAGTAGTGCCTATATTCTACCATGTTAGTCCTTCCTATGTTCGAATACGTACCGGAAGTTTTGAAAAAGCTTTTGCTGATCATCAAGAAAAGTGAGCACACATATTGCAAGGGTGGAAAGATGCTTTTACTGAAGCAGGCTATATAAAGGGGTGGCATATAGTGGGAGATAAATCTGACAGGTAACAAATCTTCTCAATCCTCTCGATATTATTTATATTAATTTTAATTTTTTTAGTTTATAACGGAAAATTTCGTCGCTAAAACCTGATTTCCGTCAAAAAAAATTTTGATTTTAGTTTATTCATTTTATGTATTTGTTAGATCCGAACCTGATTACATGGAGAAAATTGTTGAAGATATTATAAAGAAGTTGCATCGCATGTCTCCAAGTGATTCTAAAGGATTGGTTGGAATTGATTCTCACAAAGAGCGAATTGAAGCTTTGTTAGCCATTAATAAGAAAGACACCCCAATGATAATAATAGGAATTTGGGGTATGGGTGGTATAGGCAAAACAACTCTTTCTCAAGCTATTTATGATGAAGTCTATGATAAATTTGATGGCTGCTGTTTCCAATGTCACAGAGGAGTCAATAAAACGTGATGGAATCACTTCTCTACGAGATATTCTTTCTATAATATTAGAAGAAGAAAGTCTCAATACTGGCACTCCCAGAATAGGATCTACATTCTTGAATGATAGACTCCATCGAAAAAGGGTACTTGTTGCCCTTGATGATGTCAGTGATTTGGACCAATTAGAAATATTAGCAATCAGTCGTGATCACTTGGGTTATGGAAGTAGAATTATAATAACATCTAGAGATAAACAAGTACTTAAGAATGGATCAGTTGATAGAATATATGAAGTTAAGGGATTAAAATATCCTAACTCACTTCATCTTTTTTCTCTATATGCCTTCAAGAAAAACCATCCTCCTGATGATTTTATGGATCTATCAAACAGAGTTTTGGAATATGCTAAAGGGGTTCCAATAGCTCTTAAAGTCTTGGCCTCTACACTTTATCAGAGTGTGAAGAACAATGGGAAAGTGCATTAAATAAATTAAAGGAACATTCCAACCCAAAAATTCATAATCTATTGAAGATTAGTTTTGATGGATTGGATGACACACAGAGGAGTATATTTCTCTATATCGCATGCTTTTTTAAAGGGGAAAAGACTAAGGTTGTTGCAAAAATATTAAATAGTTTTTATAAAGGCGTGCTTTTTGGAATAAGTAACCTGATTGATAAGTGCATGGTTAATATTATAGAATCGGATAATACTGGTTGGAATATTGTTCGCCAAGAATCCAAAGAGCCGGGCGAAGGCAGTAGGCTATGGACTCCTACAGTTGTGTCTCGAGTTTTAAAACATGATATGGTAAGAGTTAAGAGCATTATCTTATTTTTCCTTGTTCATAAGTTAAATGATAAAAATTATTTAATTTATATTTTATAATTTGTTGTTTGTGATAGGGGAGTAAATCAATTGAAGGGATATTGCTAGACATGTATGGAATTGATGAAATACAATTACATCAAGATGTTTTTGCAAAGATGCATGATCTCAGGTTTATCGAATTCTATTATTCTCAGTTTTGTGGAAATGAAGGTAAATCACTGCTTTCACAGCAGGATCTTAAATCTCTTCCTGGTGAGCTCAGTTATTTTCAGTGGGAGTATTGCCCATTGAAATCTTTGCCATCAAATTTTAGTCCAGAGAAGCTTGTGGAATTAAGATTACCGAATAGTAACTTCAAACAACTTTGGGCTAAAGATCAGGTCTATATACTTTAATATTGTGCTCATCCAAAAAGAAAACATTATTCTTTTCTATATTTTTTTTCCATTTTTTAGTAAAACTCTAAATTTAATTACAGACTTTAAATTAATGTAGTTATTCTTTATTTTCATCCTACAGAATCTTGTGAATTTAAGAGTGATTGAGTTCCGAAATTGCAAGAATTTAACAAAGATCCCAGATCTGTCAAGGGCCATAAACATTGAAGAATTGGAGGTTAGCGGGTGCATAAGCTTGGTTGAGCTTCCATGCATGGTTCATTTGAAATTTCTTGAAAATCTGTGTCATAGTGACTACCCAATCACAATATTTCCAGAAATTCCTAGAACCTTAAAGACATTAAACTTGAGTGCGACTCAAATAGAAGAAGTGCCTTCATCAATTGAGTGTCTCAGAGAACTCGCTTCCTTACAAATGAGCCATACACGAGTTAAAAATCTTCTTAGTACTGTTGTTAAGATGAATTCCCTTAGAACAATCTGTCTCTCTCGTTGCGCAAACATCACTCGTTTTCCAAATGTTTCAGAGAACATAAAAGACTTAATTTTGAGCAATACTCAAATCAAAGAGGTGCCTTCATCAATCAATTGTCTCAAAGAACTTGCTCTTTTGGATATGAGTGGCACAAGGATTGAAAATCTTCCAAGCACTATTGTAAATTTGGAGTTCCTAAAAGCAATCCATCTCCGTCATTACCTAAACATTACCCAGTTTCCAAATGTTTCGAGCAACATAGAAATCTTATTACTGGACGACAGCAATAGAAGAACTGCCCTCATCAATTGCTAGGCTTGAAAGCCTGTTCGTGTCGAGTATGAATGACTGTACGAGGATTAAAAGTTTTCCAACATGTATTTGCAAGCTGAAATGTCTTCGACAACTTTGTCTCACAGGCTGTTCAAATTTAGAGACTTTCCCAGAAATCGTGGAGACTATGCAATGTCTAACTAAGCTTGCTTGTTCGAAAAGATTAAGTATAAAAGTCTCACCCATCTTGAATGACCACATAATTGGTGTGAGGTACAATAGAAACTTGAATCTTCTGGGTGTCATCCTTAGCAGTTGCTTTAGCAAATTTCATGTTTTGACGACTCTCGATCTAAGTGGGTCAAATATAGTGAAAACTCCCATGAGCATGCAACAACTTCCCAATCTAATTTCTCTTTGCTTAAAATGTTGCAAGAGCCTTATAATATTGCCTGAGCTTCCACCACGTCTACGACACCTAAATGCGCATGACTGGACTTCATTAGAACTGGTGTTGAGCAGAAGACGGTTTTGGGAGAATTCTTGCCTAGTCCAGATGTTATTCAGTAATTTCTTCGATTTGGATCAAGGTGTAGTCGACAAAATAGTGGCCAATGCACATCTTAGACTTCAGTGCATGGTAGAGGAATGGGTGAAAGAAAGGTCGAGGGGATTTCATGAAATAGTACCCGCAATATTCTTGATAGAGTTGTTGCCTGTAGTGAAATTTCAGAAAGATTTGAGTACCGAAGCATGGATTCTTCAATAACTATCAAGCTGTGTCCAGATTGGCAAAGTGAGAGTTTCTTGTGTTTTGTTCAATCTGTTGTGGTTGATTTCAAGATCAATCATGAAGACATTGGTGTTCAAATTGTTTGCAAAATTCAGTTAAAAACCAAATGCGGTGATTGTCATAATTTTAGAAGTAGACGGACTTCGCCTATGTATTATGATGAGCCCATATTCTTTGAGTCCAATAACATGATCTTTTGGTTTGATAAGAATATGTTTCGAAAAGACAAGCACTATGAGGAGGCCTCGTTTGAATTCTAGTAGATCATATGAAGGTGGAGAAACGTGGTGTACATGTATTTTATGTGGATGCTGAGTGTTATACTGACTGCAATGTTGAATCCAACAAAAATTTCAGCTCTAGTGGAGTGGAGGGGAAACCACCCCTTCAGTTTTTGGAATCAAGTTACGGAATTTCTGCTTGCCTGCCACGCACTCATGATGATGAGGACAAATGCAATCCTAAAATGATAAAATGCCAGCTAAACCCTGCAATTCATTCAAATTGGCTCTCAATAAAAGGAAGCAGTCTAAATTTTGGCAGATTAATACATCAAGAAGATGTCAATTTTGACAACCATGATAATCCCATTATCACAAAAAGACGTTGAAGCAGTGGAAGTTTCAGCTTTGATGATGAGGTCAATTTTGACAATGGCCTTGATAATCCCACTATCACAACAAGACTTTGGAGCAGTGGAAGTTTTAGCTTTGATGATGAGGCTGATGATGAGGTTGAACAAAACTGAAAAAGATTGAAGCTTTTTCATTTCTTTTGATCAAATTTCTGCTTTATGCATCTAATTAACAAGACCAAGGATGATTTCAAGGAGATGTAAGTTCACTTAATCCACTAATTTCTATTTTATAATTTCCCTGAAAATAACATAAATTGTGTAAAATTTTTGGTTTTGTTGGTTTTATGTTGTTAATTGATGTTTTCCTGTATTTCCTAGGTACTAGCTGATTTCTGAATTCTATGATGAAGTTTGATTACTGCGTTCATGTCAGCCAGGTAAACCTTCAATTGACCCTCCCTAAACGTTTATTTACATCACTTGTGTGAGTTTGATTTTGCTTTATCTTGATATAGGTGTTAATACCTTCCTTAGGATCACTAAAACCACTTGGGAATGCAAAAGAATAGTCTGATCTGATACCGTTGAACCTGCAAATATGGGTGTTTCCATTATCTAGTTTGTCACTACCAGAAAAAATTCTCAGCAAAATATTTTTCTTGTGGATTTAAAGTTGAGGTTGGGACAAATAAAATTTGTTTTTCTCACATTAGGACTCCTACCTTTTTCCTAAATTACAGGGGTTAACTTGAATACGACTTGATATATGTTATGATGTTATCAAGGTAAAGAATTGACATCCCCTGCTGCAGGGTGCTATTGCTGAATGGTCCAATATTTAGCTTCTGTAATTATGCAATCCTGGAAGTTTATGTTCTTTCCTTTAACTTTCTTGTGGTCTTGAATCTAAATCTGGCACATTGTATGATCTCAATGTGGTAGAAAGAACACAAACACCAACATTAAAAATAGGGAGAGTTAAACTAAAATAAGAAACGAACGGCAACTAATTCAGCATGTTTAGTATTGAGGATATGACTAGCGGTGCCTATATCTTGTTTACATCCATTATGTCTTTCTCCATTCACCCATGGAAAAGACAGTTACAAAAAGGAGTTGAAAGAATGCAACGTATGATGAAAAAGGGTCAGGGGTAAAGTGTGAATATTGATTACTGATAGAGGAGGT